TCCGCCCGCTGTCTCCGCGGAGCGGGGCCTGGCGCCGGCAGGCCAAAACGCCCCCTTCTCCGCGCCCCCGAACCAGCGGCTTCCTTATAACGCCCAAATTTCTCTTTCAAAAACTGTAATTGCAGCTCCCCTTGGCTCCCAGAAGACGTACAGCCAACTACCCCAGATAAAAATACTCTTTTTTTCTTTCTTCTTCGCAATACAACTGCCGCGAGATAACAGCCCACTTACACCAAACCCAGAGCGGCTACAATTAATAGAATAAGATGTGTTAATGATGTCCTCAGATTTATTTCAACGAGCAATGGACTAATTAGAGTCCATTATTCTAAAAATACTCCTACTGCATCTTATTTGATGGTAATTAGCTCTTCAGCTTTTTTTAAACAGCACCACAGCACATTTTTCTTTCAATAGCATAATAGAAGGGGTTTTTAGATGTTTGCGTTTATTTCTTCCCTTTGAATCGGTCAGTTTGCACGGAATAACATATAATTTAATAAAACCATCTTTAACTGTGTTTCATAATGAATTAGGGAGGTGTTTGTTCAACCGGCTTTGCATTCTAATTCAATTTCAATATAAATGTTAGGAAAAATATCAGATAAAATTTGACTAGTAAATTTAAGTTGGATTTTCATTTTAACCAAAGCGATAAGCACTTAAAGGGAGGAGAAAAATATGGAGGATGAGTTTCCATGGGGTAATGCTCAACAGAAAGGCAGGAGGCAGAAGGCGCTGGAGTGCCCCATAGGAATGTGACCAACGTCAGGGGTGTGAGAGGTCAGGCAAGGACCGCTCGCTTAACCTGGACACTTCCTTGCCACCCCTAGTCTGGGTTTGTGGATTTAATACAGTGCTAGTCACCATACATCAGATGCTCAAATGATGAAGTTTAGTTCCACCAAATCAATGCAGTAACAGTGGACAAAGAGGCTGCTTTGAAAGCCACAAATCAATTTTAATGCATTCAAAGTATGACAGTATCGACTGAAGATTTGTCATTTAGACCTCTGAGGGTAGAAAATAGACTGTTTTGCTTGTGAACATTCAATATATTTTAAAAAAATGTTTTATTGATTGTATTGGTGTTGCTATATGCTGATATAAGCAGCATAGATTTTGAAAACAGGACGGCTAAAAAGCTCTACACAAATTGTCAGAAACACCGGTCTAACACCTTTCCTATCAAACAGCCACCTTCTTTACAGCAAGAGAAGGCTGAGAGAATATATATAACACAGAACTACCAGATTAAAAGCATGCACAGTGTGGATGGATATTAATTTCAAAGTGAAACTGAAGTCACAGAACAGATATGGATGTTCAGAATGGCATAAGCTTTGTGTGGAAACCTGTTCCAAATGAATCCCTTCCAAAGAAGAGTAAATAGTTCCTTCATGCTGATTTAGTACTTGTCTTTCAGCAGCAGGTACAGTTAGCCTTGTTACACAGTCACATTCATTTCACGGAGTTAAGCAAGCCAGACTCATACTGCAAATGGCCAGGAAGGCAAACCCAGGCAACGAGAGTCTTCAGCTTGTTTTGGAATCAAGACCCCAGAGGTGGATCTCAATTTTTCAAGCTAGTGTTTAGTGCTTCAGAAAAACAAACTAAAGACTTTGATCTTGGTATTCACAGTATTCATAGCTGAAAATTGTATCTAAGCTCTTACATCTGTCTACTGGAAATTTTGTGCGACATGTATAAAACTGGGAGCACCACCAGCTGAAACTGATCCTTATGCAGAGCTTTTCAGATGCCTTCCAGCACAGAGAAGTGTTATTTCATTTTTCTACCAGCTCTCAACCTGTTGAAGAACCTACAGAGGGATTCAAAGATTTAATTGTAACTTTATACATAACAGGCTAAGTCCAAGAAACAGAGGGTAAACATTTTTATTAAACAGCTTACATCATTTATCTAGATAAGCATTGTTATATATTTGTACTTTACAAATTCAGGTTTTGGTTATTTTTCCTTACAAAGTTTCTTTTAACTGCCAAAATCATTCACCACAACTAAGAAACCCATGAAGACACTGCCAGTACTATAAAACAAAACACATATGTGAGTATCTGGGCACCACTGTAAAATTCTGTGTCTTAAAGAATAACTTTGCTTCAAACACTTAAGAGAATTCAAAAATGTTCACTATCAGAGAAGAAATACATTTCACATCAACACTTCCAAATGTACACATCTGACACGGATAAAGGTTCCCTGTATTAAAAAAAAAAAAAGTTGTAATTTTCCATTCTTACTTATCAGACTAGATTTTTTTTGTCGAATCATTTTCTGCCTTTTTTGCTTACACAGCTGAGTCCACAGCTTCTAAACGGCTCTATATTGTAATAATTTCTTTGACTGTTCCTGTAACAATTCCATAGACCATGACAGCAAAGCCTGTGGTTTATGACATCACCAAACTTCCAAGGAAAAGTTCAAGCCGCTCCCCAAGCCATCCAGTTGAAAAATCTGTTAACAGAAACCTCCTTTCTGAATTATCTGAACAGTTGAACAACTTGTTAGTACAAAATCTAACATATCTATCAATCTAAGATATCTTCAAAACAATGTCAAATTTAAGAAACATTTAGGCGTTTATCATCAAGGTGAAGTATTTCCACTGCTATCCTCAGGGTGAGGAGCAGCTCGCAGTCTGCAAAAGGTCCTGACTGCCTCGGCCTGAAGACAGATGCACTGACTTCCAACATTTTTCAGCAAGAAACTTTGTGCTCTCAAGAGGTTTTGCATTAACCTTGCTGGAAAATTGCACACCAGATTCAGCAGAGCTCTGAAACATGTTCCTAATTTTATGTCAGGGGAACATAAAAATGTGCTTACGTGTTTGGTTGAATCAAAACCTAAACCCTCTGTTTTTTCAAAATGGTTTGTTGCAGTTAGCTGAGGAGCAGCCTCACCCACCTTGCTCTGCTGGTGTCTCTCAACCTGAACTTCAAGAGATCACTTCTGAGGGGGAGAAAATTTCTTTTTTGGTGCTCCTCCTGTTTATTTTTTTATCTCATCTGAGAATACAAGGACAATGTTGTTGCAAGTTGGTTTGGGGGATGACCGCTCCACTAGAAACTGCACAAACACATTCAAATAATTTTTTATGTAATCCACCGAGCAGACAAACATTTGTAATTTTGGTGCACTGTCTCAACATGTTTGTTTTATTAAGCCAAATAAAGGCAGTCTTGTATATTGAGCAATCCACAGCCCTAAAATTCTAGATCAAGGACGCTGACATCAGATGGAGTAGGCCGACTTTTGGTGGTCTGGTTTGGAATTGCTAAGAATTACCATGACAGTTTTCATACTAGCTTATAATAAAATATTTAGGCCACTTTAATGAAACCAAAAGACTCCTGAACCCTGCTTCAAATGTTAGCATACTTAAGTGTTCAACTAGTTTTTTGGGGGGCTATTTTCTCATTAATCCAGTTTACATAGTTTGTCATTCGTGTATATACTCCAGGTTTGTTGACTCTGCCGCAGCCATCTCCCCAGCTGATAACTCCATAGAGGTAAGAGATATCATTTTTCTCACAGGCCAGAGGTCCACCAGAATCTCCCTGTGTTAAAAGTAAACGAAAGATTATCTAATTTGATAGAAAGCAGTCGGGAAAAGATCAGTTTGGGAAAGTCCCAAATTAAGAATATTTGCATGTGAGATTTAAACTAAAAAAAAGAACATGAAAGCAGTCATCTACTAAAGTTTCATTGTAGAAACCTTTTTTTTTAATCATACTCACCTCTAATACGATGGTCGTCTTTTTTTTTTTAGTTCTACATTGAATAGAAGTATCAAAATATCAAATTTCGTTTAAAAGAATTGAAATTATTTTAGATGCAGACACCTACTGAAGAGCATGGATGATTTGGGTCACTTTCAAAGGGAGTTAGCAAGATTTTGAGGCTTATGCTATGTTGCAATATGGGCTCTGCATGGATGATATTTGGAGAGTTTCTCAATGCAGCTTATTGCAAATGTCAGAGATCATGACAGTTTTCAAAGAAGGGTGTTGCATACGTACACGCTTTTCCATGTGACTGTGGGATGCTGTAATTTTATGTGGCGTATGGTTTTTTTGCATCTGTTGAATTTGATGCTACCGAGCATTTACCTTGTCATTAAAACCACAAACCCAAAATAAGACCAAACTAATGTTTGATGACACACTACAACAAGGATGAATTTGGAACACTTCTACTTATTTAAAAGCTTGCAAGCATTCAGGAAATGGGTTTATTACTATTATTACCCTTAGATTAACTTTCTACAGAAATGAAAATGTTAGAAATCAAGAGAAAAACATAAATTAGTAAACAGTACTGGTGAAAGGAGCCACCCCTCTAGCTATTTGAGACTAAGGAGAAATATATTTTTTCCTATTTAAAAAGAAAATCCCTTGACAGCAAAGTAGGTAGGAAAATTGTGTTGCCTTTATACCAGGAGATTTCTGTGATAAATGAGGGACATCAGATGAAGTCTTGTATCTGAGATCAATTCACTTCTCAGAACTTTGGTATCAGTACACTGATCAAAAAAAAAGAGTTTTCAAGAAAATCTTTAAAAAACAAGCAGAACACATTATCTACTTGACATTTCTTGGTCTTGAAATATTTTTGTACATAACAGATGGTTTATAATTTAATTTCCTACGCATACATTAAGAAAACTCAGAGGTCAGCTACATTTCTTGTGACATTAAGAGGTCTACACTATTTCTCCTTAGACCACACTACAAGTCTGCCAACAGGAAAAGAAAATGAATTATTGATTCACTAATAATGATTTCATGTCATGAGCACTGTTCTTCAGCAATATCTGTGACTCTAAATCACTTTCTCAGACTTTGCAGCTATCTCCAGACCACTTGTCTTTGTGCAGCTCCTCTCTCCTTCCTTCTGCTTTCTTCTTTCTCCCTCTCATTCCTGATCAACTCTGTTTTTCCAGGGCAGGGAGGGAGAACCAGCTATAATGCTGCGTCTTGTATCTGCACTTCCTGGGTGAGGTAAGGAAAACTGAGCAAGCAAGGTAGTTTCTAGTTCTCTGGCTAGTACGAACACTTGCAGCCAGTAACTACAATCAGTTCTCAGCCCTGGCCTGAAACCTTGAGCCACTGCTGGCTGATGCCATTTCACTCTTGACACCTTTCTTTGGACATTTATAAAAATGTCTATCTGACATCTGATCTCTATAGGGGTTCCAGCACACAGTATACATGATATTCTTTGCTTTACTTAATCTCACTGCCAACTATTAACTATGTGCTGCCTGTTCCCAAATTTATGCTAATAGAGCATAACCCTCATCCTTCAAAATGAACTGAAGATAAAATCTGAAGGTTTATGTAAGGAATAATCTGATCCTTCACTTAAAAAATAGTCTCATCTATCACCACAACAATTCTGCATCCTTATTCAGAGCCAAGGTGTGACATAATTAAAAAAAAGATGCAAAGTAGTAAGAGCTTGAGGTCATTCCACAAAGGGCAGAAGTCATGAAACAGTTTCCAATTGACTGATATTCTACACCGTTAAATCCCATCCACTATAATAACCTCAGCTCCTTCCTCCTCCAAACCTCACCACTGCTCCCCACCTCCTACCCAAGTACCCTTGTTTCCATTAGGCAAGAGGCAGCAGCTCGGGGATTTGGCTCCGCACAGGTACATGCTGGTTGGCCTGCCGGCGCGTCCCTGCCAGCTGGCCAGCAAACCTTTGCCATCACGCTGCAAGCTCAGCCAGGAGCTAAAGCAACTCCCCCTCCAGTGCATAGCCACTGCCTTTTATGAAGGTAGGAGGAATATAACACCCTGGAGGGTTTTTTGCCCTTCTGTAGAACTTATTTGACATTGAACAGGTTAAAAAATGAAGGTGGAAGCAAACAGTGCAGTCACATAAGTTTCTTTTCTTTAGGAACGTTTCTTTTCTTTAGGAACACTGTAATGTCAAAAGTAAGCACTGTTAACACCGCAATGTTTCTGGCAATAATATACATTTATATTCTCTGCCTAGAGATGACTCACAACATTACCTGACAAGCATCAGATTTGCTATCGAAGTAGCCAGCACAGAACATATTTTCAGTGATTTCTGTTCCATAAATTTCAGGGCTTCTGCACTTCTCCTCAGGAATAATTGGAATCAGTGTTTCTTGCAGGACATTTGAATAACCAGATATATCTTGAAAAAATTCCCAGAGAGGAAAACAAGGTCATTTTTATAGAATGTGAAGAGCATAACATGGAAACATAATGCAACATATCAACACACTTAACACATCTCAGGCATATTTGTGTTGTGGATCTCTTTAAAAGATAATAATTTTTATAGTGATCAGATCACTTTCTGCTCCTCCAGTCAGACTCCGTGCCCTTTAAAATAACAGTGTCCATGTCCAGACATTAATGCACTTTGGGTTGTCTCATTTCCTAGAGACTCAGGAACACTCCCCCAGCATTCCTGTCCTCTCCTCTTTCCAGATGTGATATTAAATCATCAGTTTATCAAAGGCTCCATTACCTCTTTTTGCCTTTAGACTACACATTTAGACCAGGACAACAATGGCTCATACTAAATCTCTTATCAAAACGAGGCAGCCAGCTCCCCCATCCTTCTCATCTATCTACATAGGTCTCTGCTATCTCCACACCAAAGCAGCAGGGCCAAGCCTCATAATCCTGAAACTCCTCATCTGAAAGGATGGGATTAATTTTTCCACCTTTCTCAAGCTGGATGTAAGCACTTCTTAGCCCAAAGTCTACCTGGCCCTCTTCTGCAGATGTTTCCAAAGTTTCCTGCTGGTGAAGAGAAAGATCTCCTCCATCACAGACTAGTAAATTGGTTGTGTTTGGTTTGCAGTCTTTGATATCTACCTTGAGAAAGCAGGGGTAGCATTCACTCAACTAAGGTGTCAAGTCGTTGGCACCTACAGCTAAGCTACTTGCTCCCCTCCCAGTCCATGGAGATCTAGCTAGCTCACAGCTCATCTCATCCTAAAATAGATGGAACCGTGTTCAGGGGAACCACACTCCAAATTCCAAGGACTGTAAAGGAAGTTCAGGATGACTATTTCAGATGTAAATGTTGTAAACATCTAAAGGTAGGTAAAAAGAATCCCACCAGAAATCCCTTGGAAAATATTTTACCAAACTAACAGTTGTATAATATATACTTGAGCATTATGTTTTAATTATCATCAGTTTTTTCTACAGACACCAACTCTCATTTTACTCACTCTCATGCCTGTGTCCCCATCCAGAAATCTGACATTTGAACTGATCAGGGAAAACAGTGTTACTTTCCGGCAAGCAGATGGGCTGAACAAACTGGGACTTGACGGCACAACGTTGACCATTCTTCTTTAGCTTAATCAAAGCTGCAGAACAGAAAATATAGGAGGAATAAAGTGACTGTTCCTTTTCTTTAATGGGATTGGCAGCAATGGGTCTCAAATACAACTTTAATTATCCCCTAAGCCTCTCTTAATTAAGATATTTCAATCAAAGACAGACAGACTCATCTCAACAGCACCTGATTTCACAGCAAATTGAAGGCTGAAACATTCAGCTACTCCCCTTGTGGGAATATTTATTTTATGCTGCGCTCGCTGAGCAGATTTTGCTTCACTGCCTTTGTAGAGAAGGGGGAAGATAGAAAATACATTTGTCTCCTTCCTTTAACTTTAAAGTTAAATAACAGTCACATATCCATACCTTTCAGCTGAAATCAGGGATCTGCTTGGTAGAGTGCCATGGGACAAAGCCCTGGAGGGAAGAGGGGCCCAAGAAAGCTGGGTAATATTCAAGGATCACCTCCTCCAAGCTCAGGAGCGATGCATCCCAACAAAGAGGAAGTCAGGCAAGAATGCCAGGAGGCCTGCGTGGATGAACAAGGAGCTCCTGGACAAACTCAAACACAAAAAGGAAGCCTACAGAGGGT